TCTGTCTGTTATTTGATGTTTATTATTCTTATTTTATCACTGGTATGAATATGTTTGGAAGGCAATGTATACATTTCATTTACCAGATTATTTTAAATATTTTATTAAAGTTTTGTTTGAATGTTGCTGCATAATGGCTTCATGATTCCTTCATAACTGCTACACAAGATGTTATAATCAAATGCATAATGCTTTATAGGGACTTGCACAAATGACATAATGTGTACGTAAGAGGTAATGATATTTGTTGAAACATTGCATCATAACAAGAGCTTTAAATGAATCATATAAATATGTATTATAAATAATATAACTCACAACATCTTATTTTATCTTATGAGGGATATTCTCTGTTTGCCAACATGTTAATTGTTTCAAAAACTACAGTGAAAGATTTAGCATCAATTCCATATGAAAATTATTTCTTACTATATCTTTTTTATTATTTTTCAACACCATAAAGGAAAGGAAACCCAGTCTTTTTTTGTATAATCCAGCAGCACTAGAATGTTGTAGACTGAAGCTTTTCAGAAACTAAGGCTAGTGTTGTTCTCCTCTGATGGGAGGCCTCTGAGCTGGAGTGTACTGCATTTCTGTGGTGAATAGTCTGTTCTCTTCTACTTGTAAAATACTTTGCGATCCCTCTCAATGAAGAGTTCTGTACTAGGGCCAAGGCAAAAACAAAACATTTCTTTCAAAAAAGCTGAAAAAGGACTTTTGTCTGAAATGTCGTAGGCAAATTATTTTACATGATGTAACTACTGCGTTCAGCATAAATACTTCCTTTTCTCTTCCATTCATTTCTATTTTGCTGTTTTATCTCTTTAAAAAATATTAATGTTCCTCTCCATATACCTTGCAAATATATGCATTTTTTTTTACTTCAATTCAACATGGATTATATTTATTATATTGAGTTATTGTATTAACTGATTTCCATTTCTATTCTATACTTCTCTGAATGATGTTTTTGCCCTTGTATTTCCTATTTGGATTGTGAAATGGAAAATTGCCTCAAATAAAGGTATCAGTTAAATATTTGTATTTGATCACTTTGCTAACTAATTGTTTAAAATTGATTCTAAAGTGGAGTCCTTTTTGTGAAGAAAAAGCACAAAAACTTTCCTTGTCAACTCTCATTAGTGAGTTTACAGCTCAGCTGGTCTCCAGGACCATTCCTTGCTTTACTGGAGTCTTACTGGTTACCAGTGAAACAATTGAATGTGCTGTATTTTTTTATACACTGTATGAGAGGACAGGTATGCATTGTTGCTATATGACGATAGAACATTTCCACAATGCTGTGCCCAGTTAAAAATAATTGCTACAGAATCAACAGAGGCATGATCTGGTGCCCTAGCAGTTCATGCACAGATGTTGCAGTGAATCAAACATTATATAGTACAATTGGACAAACACAATGACCTGCAACCTGCAACAGTTATCTTCACTGTAGGAGAGATGGGTTATCTCCCATCTCTCTGTGCTGCGTCTTCTACCACAGCTATGCTGAAATGACCCTTGCAGCTTTACCTGTCCTGTCCTTTCGTCTCTAGATATATTCCCTCAATACAAATAAGGTTGTTGGTTTACATCACTGATCTTTCTCTTGCACTGCAGCACAAGTCATTGCACTTCATTTTACACATTGCTGGAGTTTCCTTTACTTGTTGTTTGAAAAAATCTACATATTCAAGTGCCCTCTAATAGGACAATGCATACTGCATAGTAACACTTCATCTTAAAACATTTATATCTCTTTTGTCCTTCTTAGCCTCTATGTTTTAACCTTTCTGTTATATGGCTCTCAAACAAGAAAACTTTTTTTCTTTACTTGTTTCTCCTATACAATACCTTCTAATAGCCCTGCTGAAGGTGTTAAATTGACTGCAGTAATGGTGGTACTAATCTGTGTAGGCAATGATGTTATCTTTGCAAGTGGTTTAGAACCAACATATCAAAATTTAATGAAAACTAGTCAAGAGCTTAAGCAGAGAAAATTAGAATTGCAAATGTGATTTACATTTGTAATTGAGCTGAAATATAAATGAGCCTCCTCTGAAAGCCCTTAAGGGATAGTTAAAAAACCGACATCTTCTGAATGCATTCATAGGCAAGAAGGTTAATGCTTCTTTGCTTTGTCAGCAATCTTGACATTCAATATCAATTTTCAGTCTTTTCCAGGAATACAGGTGTCACGGGCACCTGTCATAAATGTTGGTTTCTTGAGGTTGTTTTACAAATAGATCAAGGTTTATTTGCTGTGCAAAGATTTTAAGTCTCTTTTATCTCACAGACATCATCTAGTTAAGCTTCAGTTCTTTGCAGCATTGTCAGGGTTTGCTCAAAGAGTTTATGTGCATTTCATAACAGAGGCTCAAGCCAAAGAATTGCTCTGCTATTAGTGTGCAAAAATAATTGATAAAATCAAATACATTTCCTATCACCAGGAAACTTTCTGAATAGATTAGTTTTTCACTATGTATTCACTATGTATTTTCATTTGATGTTAAAATTTATACAGAACATGCAGTGATCATAATCCATTTTTTAAAATGGAATGTCTCAAAAGTACATTTTACTTTTGTCTTTACTTAATGTTGGTAAGAATACATTGACTACAAGAAAACTAAGATGCCTCTGGTCTATCTTCCTTTCCCAATTCCCCAATTCAGGTGGGGAGTGTTCATGCTGAGAGACATGCCTCTAAAGTTGGTAACACAAGTGGTCTGGGGACAGGAGATAAAATGCAAGCGTGAGCCCTGAGCAACACATTTTAAAATGACATGTAAAGTGATACCGAAAACCTTGGCCAAACAAGTAGGATTTCAAACCAAGTAAATGAGAAGAAAATCCAAAGGCAAGTCCAGTGAGCAGTCAGGGTCTAAACGCAGAGGTCAGTACGAGGTTGTGGGAAGCAGGGGTTGAAAACAAAGACAAGACGTCCAAGTTCAAGAGAGATCCAAGATGCTTTGTCAAAGACGGAAAGTACAGTACTGTAAGTCTGCAGTTGAATCGAGCAAGAGAGAGAAATAATTCACTGGCTCAGCATTGTTACTGCTGGGCTTAAATACCCCCTGGGGTGAAGTATTTACTGGGTTAATAGCAGGCTGGTGGCTTCCTTAACCAACACACTTGTGTTACCTCGACGACTGGTGGATTGGCAGAACAGAAACTCAAAATGGAGACTCGGCCAGCTGCTGAGGTGGTAGTACAGAGCGAGCCGGCACTCCCAGGGCTATGACAAATACACAGTGTGCTGTCTAGTCTGCTCAACACCTCAGAAACCAGGATGATCTCTGGCCAGATGACCCATGGTAGCCCTGGAATGGACTTTACCTTTTTACCATGTCCTCCATTTCTGGTGATTATTGTTGATCAAAAGTCAAGGTTAAGATTGGCTATTTCAGACCATTGTAGGGTTTGGCACTCAGTTGTCCTTCAAGTTTGATCGCCCTTTAATTGACTGTGATTTCGGTAAACATAAATTTCTTATTATATTCTGCTTGGTTGTACCATCAGAGAAATTAAATTAGCAGGGTAGGCAAGATCATCCCTTTTTAATGATTTCATAGCTATATCTTCCAAAAATTAATACATGTATTTTTTAACTATTACAAGCTTCACCTTGAACATTTTCTAAGTAGCAACATGTAAGAGTCTGGATGTACCCTGTATGCTTTGTGATATTTCTGTAACACCTGTGCAAGCCTGAGCTCTCACCATGATAATTGGTTGTATTCCTATGAGGACTCAAACACCTACCAGTGCCGTGAGTACATGATCAGGAAGGCAGCCTGTCCAGGTCCAGTTCTTTTCATCTTTACAGCAGGATCTCCTGCAGATGAAGTGAGCTTAACAGCAAAAGATATACTTTCCATCAGCTTTCAGTAAGATTGATTCCAGGACATACAGTAGTTCAGGTCAGGTCAGGGAAGATGGAATTGTGTCACATGCTCCAAAAACCAATTTCTTACCAATAAGAGTCTCATTCAACAGAAAGCCCATATTATTCTGGTCCTTGAGTGTGCAGTATATATGAGTCCTGTTTTCATTTGCTTGTTGCAAAGAGTAATAGATTGACCGAGTTTCTTACAAATAGTTTCAATTAGACCTAGACATATTAGGGGAACCTATGCTTAGCTTAGGGGAAGGTTCTTAGCTGACCTGTAACTAATTTAACAGTCTTTCCTATGGGCCACACCTTCATGGCTTTTCCCATTCTCATGCTACTTCTGTAAATATTAAAATAGTTGATGCTTAAATCTATGCTGACGGCTAACTGAAAGGGAGAAAAAAACATTCAATTGGAAATAAGAACAAAGTATTGAAAATAGATGTTATTTGAACTGGTTATAGTTATCATTCATTGACTTTCTTTGGGATATACTGTACTGTTAGTTCACATGTCCATGAGGACATTGATTACAGCATGTTTTCCCGAAGCAAGCCATTACTTTCGGGATCCCAGCGATTCCAAAATAATTAATGATTTGTTACACCATATCCTAAAATGATTCTGCATTGCCATTTTTAAGCAATTATCTTTCACAAGACAAACATGTACAATAGTTATGCCAGCAGTTAAATCTGGTCGTCACTGTATTTAATTGTGGGAACTAATAAAGAGAAAATTAGTTGTGGCTCATTTCACAGATTCATCCTCCATTTCACAGCAATTTATGCTCTCCATGGCACAAACATTAAAAACTTGTGAGAGAAATACTCACTTTTGAAGCATTGCTAACTATTTTTTCAGGAATATTTTTAAAATTATTTTTAGATCTCCTAATGAGTTATTCCAATCTTTCACTATCAAGTGACATGTACAGGGATACCTCTGTAGTTAATTTCTTACTTGTTCCTAACTTTAAATACATTCCAAGTCACTGCTGTCATGTAGTTAAAAGTACTAACAACCCAGAGAGTACATTTATTTAATTAAATGAACAAAGTGTCACATTTTGCCACTTTTACATTAAATAAATGGCACTGCAACATAACGTTCACCACACACATTGTTTAATTGACAAGGAAAGCTGTACAGAATGGAAAACATGTCAGACAGCAGCCATAACAAGATGACCTTTGCCAGGTTCCACCTGTTTTTGCTGCCAAACTGGCAAGTGGTCAACAGAATCACAGCATAGTTAGCTATACACAGTCTTGTCATAGAAAAAGAACAGTATCCAAAGTATTGACATGCAAGTGGTAGAGCTTTGTCATATAGTCGTTTAACATTTTGGCAGTAGATGTAAATAAGAGTGACTCATATACATATATTTATAGAGATATGTTTTCTTTTCTCTTTTTTTTGTACAGTACGTGAAACAGATCTTTGAACAGTCTTCAAAGGAGAAGAGGAAGAAGAGGAGGAGAGAAGTCATCAGACAGCTCCAAGGTTTGCTCTGCACATACTGTAATTCAAAAGGCCAGTCCATTTCCAATGTGCTGTACCAGCGAGACCAACGATTAATTATCTGCATTTTTTTTTGTATTTAAAGCATTGTACTGCATCTTGCGAAACTGGAATCTGTGATGTTCCATTCCTTTAGTCTCTATAACAATATCTTAGATTATTGAAAACAGTCTTTTCCCCATGGGTTAGCATGCTATCTCTTCCAAGGTTCCAAGGGTTGTCTGGAGTGGCACGCTTACTGTGTGGCTGATGGCTTCTGAGTGATTTGGCACAGGATCACAAGTACTCTGGAAAGACCGAAATTAAATGAATTGAAGTTTCTACTGTAATCTGCTATAATCAAGACTGTCTTGGCTACTCAAACAAGTTCAAATGCATTAAGAAATTCATCTCAGCTACATACAAACAAGTGTCAGTGTGACGAATTAACTATCTAGCCTTAATGTGGAATTTCTTCATTTGATTAAGATTTCTTAATCGAATTAGCTAGGCTTGTCAAACAATCCACACTACTTTGTAACTGCAATCCGTGTAAGATGTTTAGACATTGTTAATATTATGGCTCCATAAAATAAATCACCTCCTATAAACAATATGTTCCTTATAGTGATCAGTCAAACTACATTTTTTCTGATTGTTCTACATTTGCTTTCCTTTGTTGTTAACTTTAGTATAGAGTAAAAACAACGCTTACAAAGCGTTTCAAACTATGTGAAGTAATGCTCACATAAATCAGTAAAGATGTGTAATATAGACATCCCAGAGTTTTCTAGAATTAATATTTTAACTGCTTTCCCAAGCTGTTTTATTTTTTCTAAGAGGTAAACTTCTGAATTATTCATACTCTGTTATCTGAAAATCCCACAGCAAACTTAAAGCAAGATAAATTCTCCCCTCAAGTTTAGTTTTCTTTTCTTACCACATTCTCGTCATGACTTCCTTCTTCCTCTTCTTTGCTGAGAAAGTCCAGCAGTCTGTCTCTCAGAACCTGTCAAAGGTGTAATACAGTATATCAATTAAATTTTTAAGGCCACCACTGAGAACGTGGTTCCAGTTTGAAAATTAATGCAATACACATTGACAACTAATGAAGTACAACTGCTTTGGACTAATTTAACATGGAACTTTCTTAATTATGAAATAAGAGTGTCACGTCACTTGGAGAGCACTGGAGAACATCTGAGTTTACAGATGAATACTTACCTCATACAAATAGTCAAACAGTTCCAGTATTGTTAGAATGCTAGCACCAATAAACAGGCCCATCTGACCTCCGATATCACCTGTAAATCAAGAAAAGAAAAAAGAACATCTTTAGGAGAGCTCTTTTACTACAGTTGTTTTGTACTGAAGTGTTTTTGATCTGCACAAACCTCTACTGCATACTCTAATTAGAATGTTATTTATGCCACTTGTTTGCCACAAACTGTATGTACTGTACAAAGCTTTACGAGGGGCTACAGAGTGGCAGAAGTGGTAAAGGGCAGACTTGTGACTAGACTTGCTACCTCTTACTTAAAAAACAAACTAGACACCAAAGTAATTACATTAAAAAACACAGAAATGTGCTAGGAATCCCATTAAAACAAAATGAAATACCGTGAGTGAGAGAGATCTTACCCGTATTTAAGTGGGCATATTGGGTTTTGGGGGTGACATAGTGTAGTAAGTCTTACTGAAGTGAGGTACTCTAGTTTACCCCAGCACCTCCAGCATTGCTGGGGGGTCATCCCTGGGATGAACCAGCATCTCATCCGGGAAGGGGAGTCACATGCTCTCAGTCCACTGAACACTTAACAGTAACTGGGAGGAGATCTGACCCAGCTCTGTGGCTCTGCTATGGACATTTAACCTTCCTTTTATTGGCTGTTGCTTCGGACTGCCATATAGTTATATATAAAAAAAAAATAAAAAAAACAAAAATATAGTTTTGGTTTTAAATTTGAACGATTGTTTGATTGATTGACTTGTGAAAAACTTGTGAAAAAAGTCTACCCCACTCTCTATTTTGATCACAATATGGCAGGTTTTAATTAAGATGGAAAAGCATGAGATAGGAGTGTCATGTGCCTTCTTCCAAATTATCTTGTAAAAGTTTTTTTCCCTCTTTCTTCGGTTTGCATGAATAACAATCCCACAGATTATATGATATTCATATAATATGATGATATGACATCTTTACTCTAGAGTGCTGTCACTTAAATTTAAGACTCTCCTTATTGAAATCCAAACTGATGACACTATTGTTTTCTCTGTCTTTCCCTTAAGCTCTCATTTTTGTTATTACTGCTGTGACATTTAATTTTCTCTCTATCACTGCCACTGGCCTTATGAAACTTTATGACTGTGGATTTGCACAGTACTTTCGTAGGTTCCCATGCTTGTGCTATGCTGTTGTCTCTCTATCTTTTCGTTTTCAATTTCCCTGGATTTACAACAATTTATCACTCTTTTACCTAAGTACAGGATGTTACACAAAGGTTTTAGTAGTTTATCCTCATTTTCCTATAATTTCACATCTATTGGCACCTTGCTTCTTCTAAAATTGTAACATTTAATAAAAAGCTACAAATGTGCAGTAATTAGAATCAAGATGCTAGCTTTATTTAATGTATTTAAGATATTTGTGAGTGAATATATGGTCAAACAATACTGCCCTTAATTTTAATACATTTTAATATTTTACGTTTTGGGGTAAGGCATTACCTAATTATACTTTATTACTGTTTACTTGTTGTTACAGTACCTTGTTACAATACGGCTATAAAAAAATTGCTTTAGGGTGGCTCTCACTACCAGAAAAAAACATGCCATGGACAAATAATTTAGGATTTTATTCCTATTTATTCCTAAATTTCCTATTTCCTACTTTCAATTTCTTATTTTGTGATCTTGAAGATCCTTTCTGTTGTGCTTAAATAGTGTAGATCTTTTAAACACAGAATAAAACCTTCTGTTTTTCCTTTCTTTCCTTTTTCTTTTTAGTCAAGAGACATTGCTTTTTTCATAACTTTCTTTGTTATGTATCAGCTAAAAACAAAAATCTTAAAAACATAAACATTCTTAACAGTCCTTGTGCTATAAATATTTCATTAATTAGTTTTATCATTCCATCAGATATAATATTTTTATTTAAATATTAACAGCAGAAATCTAATGCTCACCCAGCAAACCTGCAACTTCATATGCCTTTTTTTGCTCTATGGTTTCATAGTTCAGAGCTTCAAAAAACACATCCAGGACCAAGATGTTATCTCTGCCAGACATGAAAGACAATTTTTATTGTTTATTCAGCATCAAGCTCCAGTAAGAGTAATACAGAAGAACTCAACTGAAAAGTGTCCATAATTTTAAGATGTTTTTTTCTTCTCATTTAATGTGCTCATCTTCTATCCTCTTTTTGTTTTGGATTTCTGTTGAGCTAGAAATCTCAGTCTACATGAGACTGTAGAATGTACAACTGCTCCAGCAATTTAAAAGCTTCAGTCAGCAGAAAATGTGTAATTAGTGACCATTTAAGCTGTCCATCCATTCCCTCAGCACTTTACTCAAATCAGGGCCATAGGAGTGCCAGAGCAAGGCATCCTTGGGATGGCAGGCCATCGCAGGGCATGTACGGACACAAACATGCACACATTCAATATTCCCAGAAGTCTACAAACCTATCAGCATGTCTTTGGACTGTGGGAGGAGACTGGAATTCTGGGAGGAAACCTACAAGCTCCACCCAGATACTGTAGCACCCCAGGAATTGAACTCAGGGCCACAATGCTGTGAGGCAGCAATGCTCACCACTGCGCCACTGTGCCACACTTTTTAATTACTTGATGACAAAATCCTTTATTAGTAGGGTATTCACAACATACCTGTAATTCCCACAATCTCGTCACACTCAGTAAGCCAGTAGGCCAAATTTAAAACATATTACTTTGTGTTTTCAAAGTTCTCTGGCAGTAAAGCAACTACAACCTGAGAATAGGCAAACACCTGCAATCGAATCAAGATAAAGAAAATAAATCTACAGAAAATGAAGACCTAGTCTGGGAGGGGAAAAAAAATCAATGATTGCCTGTTATCAAAACATGACTAGGATTTACACAGTAGCACAGAAGGAAGAACTGTAACATCACATTTTTAGTTAAGAAAACGATCCAGCTTCCAAATATCTACATCACACTTACGAGATGTATTTTTCAGACTTGTTGAACTTCTTCTCCAGGTATCTGGCAGAGGTTTTGCTTGGAATCTTCACCATGGACAATTCCTTGTTGTACCTGGTCATGTTGCAAGGGGTGCGGCAGATGCAGTTGTTATTATCCTTCTCTGAAAGAGTTGCTTGAAGAGGAAGTGAAACGAATGAACGGTGTGGAAATAAAGGTCCTTTCCCCATAACGATCTCTGACTAGTGAATAAATGAGTCATCACTTGTTCAGCTGGTTTGCTTGAACGCAGTGATATTGATTTTCGTGCCTACAGTCATATTGGTTTTGAAAATAATTTTGGTGCATTACAGGGCATTTTCTAAAGTATTCCAAGGCTAATCCAGTGAATTACTGATAAGCACATTGTTAAAAACATAATATCAAAATGAAGAGACAGAATGAAGCTTATATAAAGTCATTAACAAGGTTCAATTTTTCACAGTGATCATATTAAATCTATTATTAAAACTTGACTGATTTGAAACTCACATTTTCCTTATTGTACAGGTCTGTCTTCTGATATTACTTCACCTTTTACATACCAACATAAGAGAGTGCTAAAGCAAAAATAAATTCGGCATTGTCTTCTGTTTCACTGAATTACATCATACTGCACATTCAAATCATATGAAGTGGAATTTACTCCCTCTTTTACATATCAGGTTGTCTGGTGATCCAGGTTGTGCATGTGTAAAGTGCGTATCAGTGTATTTTTTGCCCAAATGACAAATGATGATTAAATCAGACTAATACAGAAGATTAGATCAGATCAATATGTACTGTAAGTCTCTAATTAAAGATTTATCACGAAAATAATGGATGAATAAATTTACTGATATAAAAATAAGAAAACAGATATTAATTCTGCTCAAATATGAAGGGATATGACCATGGTTCTCATTTATACCTCTATATTATAGAATCCAAATCAAATCATCAAACAATGTGGAAAATGTAATTCCGATATATAGAGGACTCCTTAAATATTTTCACTGTGGACTCTAATAATAGTAATTTTTAAAGGAAAACATGTGACGGATGAGTAAGATATCTATATCTAAGGGTTTCATATTAAACAAAGTTCAGTTCCACTCTCCTGGGTCAAATAAACAAATTGATAGTGTTGAACCTCTTTATTGTTAAGGGAAAAAAAAGTAATTGACTGATTAGAGTACAGGTGTCTCTTGTTGGTCAGGTGTTTGTTGTTGGGTAATTAATCACAAATAAAAGAGAAGTGGACAGCTTGGAATCCTGTTTTACTTCGATTTCAGTCCTTCTTTGAAATTTCAAATTCAAAATAATACAATAGAACTTTGTTAAATAAAAGCAGGAAGCTTTGAATCTTAGGAAGAGAAAAAGTCAGTCAGAACCATAGTACAGATATAGTTAAGTGTTTGGAATGTACTAACAAAGAAATAAATAAGTAGTCTGTTTACCAATCAAAGACAAACTAGGTACTGTAGGACACGAAAAGATATACACAAGCTATACTGATATATAAAGATATACACTTTTTATCAGCAATAAGATGATAAAAGCCCAAAGATGAATTAGAAGAATTTTATGGACAGAGGATACCAAGATAAATCTTTAAATAAAAGTACTTATGGTAGCCTCAGAATAAGTTCTGGAGTTTACTGAAAAGTTTGAGAGCTTATGTAGAAGAAATTGTTTCCATGATATAGGGCAGCTGATGCTCATCAGAAGGCAAAAAATAAAAAATCTTCAGATTTAAATTGGATTGAACATTCATTCTAAATACTGATGAAAACATTGAAGTCAGACCATACCAAGAACTGCAGCAAAGACGTACCCAAAACAACATATTCCCATATTAATCTCATGATCATTACTATACATTTCTTGACTGTAAATAAAAAAATTATTTTATTTCCTAGCCTAATACTTTTGGAAGACATTCCTTCTAGGTATTGAATGCATTATCTTTTCATTTTTGATAAGATCTTCTGCAAAAGCCAGCTATTTCAGAACAGCAGTTAATGCATGAGATTGTCATACAGTACATTTAAGAGTTTGACATGTTTTAGATTGAGACCATTAACTAGCCCTAACCATATTTACCTAAAAAGTATCTTTTCACATATTACTTTGTTAAATGTACATACATAGACGAAATGGCAATTTAACATAAGATCTGGAATTTTCTGCACTATGGAATTAGATATCTACAGTACGTCAGCCTCATTAAGGCCCTTCCAATTCTAGCCCTTTCAAATATGGCATATATGCAACTTAGAAAATATAAAGTACCTCTCAAAATGTGTGGTTTTAATGGAGTACCTCCTTCACTCCTTTACTCATGGAGGCCCACCTTTACTTATCAGAGTTTTGACATAGCTCTACAAAAGCTACCTATATTTATCCTTGAAAATGCCAAATTGGAGGACTGTCATTTCTGTGCTCCACTCTCATTTTCTCACGGTGAAAAAAGGAAGGAGTGAAATAAAACAGGCAGGCAAGACCACATTCTCATGAAGGTCATCTAAAAGGTAAAAGCTGTTCTTCCAACCTTCAAGTGTAATTTTAAGAATGTGACAAGCCAACATCTATACACCAGTTTTCAGAATTTCTTGAAGTTTCATTTTGCTTTTTTCTTCAATAGGCAGTCATTTTGACCTTGAGGGCAGGCCATCCAAGCTATAAGACAATGGGCTAACATACTCATTTTTCACTTCAGACGTGTAGCTAAAAAATACATTCCATTATTTTTTACTCCATACAGAAGCTGCTTAGCAACTTTCAAGACTGATTGACCATGTAGGGTTCTTTGTTGTGTTCAAGACTGAAGACAAAAAGTAAATCTTGCTAATGGTTATATGGGAATTGAGGATATTTAAGAATACCTGGGACCAAATGTCTTTTGGAAATTTGCTTTGCTGTAGTTCCCTTCTTTTTATCTCATTAAACACATAGACACTGTCTATATGTCCTACAAGGGTTTTTACTTCAGTAATGGTTTAACACAAAAGGTAGTTATGGGGGTCTGGCCCAATTCCAGTGTGTGTTTTCTGCCAGTTGTAGAGGAAGGAAGGTAACAAGCTGCCGTGAAGGTTATTCAATGATGTCGATAAAAATCTAAGATGATTCAGAAATGTTCTGGTAGAGGCAAAAGTCACTGAAGCAGGAAAGATTGGCTTCCTTGTAATCAAAACACTTTGACACTAATGATGGTCAATAGAAAGTGAACTGATGCAGAGCTCTTTTTCTGAGTTAAATCTTGATCAGATAAGCAATGCATTAATAGACATTAGCTATAATTAGGGCAGGAAATTCAATATGGACTCTGACTTCCACTCTTTTACCACTATAAAAAGGCTCATTACAAATCTGTAACTCTTTCTGTATGTTTCATTACACTGTTCTCAAATATAATTCTACAAAGTGTTATAGCCCTTAGTAATTCTAGTAAGATCAGCTTCAAATGTTCATTGGCTTGCTGCTGCTGATGCAGTTGAGCTCATAAGCACAATTTTCCTCCTAGTATGTGATTCCACTCAATGTTGCCTTTCAGGGAATAAATGTCTCACTCAAGAATCAAAAGAAACATTTGCCGGTGAGATATCTTACTGTCAAGGAATCTATATGGTATTATGATAACTGGGAAGAACAGGCCAATTGCTCCATCTATCCTGTTTGTTACAAAAAAGTAAAAAGTAGTCAGATTTATCCAAGGATCTCCTCTTGACATTTCTTGAAATAAGCCAGGCTATTGGCTTTGACTTTGGCTGAGTAGCTTGTTCTATATGCCCACAACTCATTCTGTAATGAAGCGCCTTCTTAAGTACTGGAGCTATCTGTTACTCTTAGAGAACTTATTTTCCTTCATTTGTCTGTCCAGCGTATGAGAAATAAGGTCCTGTTGTAGATGACTCTACAACAGTCAGTGATGCTTAATTTATTTATTACATCCTATGAACTACATTGGGTAAAAATGTTAAATTGCACTACTATGATAATAGAAAAGCATCTTCCTTTGTATCTGAGCTTTTAGCTTAACATGTACTTAATCATTCATGATTTGAAGATAGCTGGGGATTAGAGCTGTGGAAGTGAATGAGACTGAGCAGCACTTCTCTACTGTCAAACGTGTTGAAACAGCTTTCCCTGTGTGAATCCTGGGAGATGTTAACTTTTCCAATGTTTATACAGTATGTTCCATATGTCGGACTGCATAAACAGTACATTTGCATATTTGCACTTGTGAAGTATTGGTTGACTTAACTTACCTAACGCTGGCTCGGCACATTCTTTATATTGCTCAGGTGTACAGAAAGGAGCGTCACCTTTTAAAAAAGAAAAGGGGATTACCAAACACATGTACCAAATCTATCAAAAAATTGCCATTTTTATATTTGTATAAACTACACAACGCGTATATAAAAAGAAAATTAAAACAGACCTGTGGAATGGGAAATTGCAGTTTTACTGTATAGTGTTAACCAATTTCCTCAGTTACATGGTGGTAAAATGGCTGCAAGACTGGGTTTGAACTAAAACACTTGATTTCACACTTCAAATACAGAGATCAAAGGCTATACTTGCTGAATATGTTTATTACCCATTTAGCTTTAAAATTCAAGTAAATGTAAAAACTCCATTCTAAATATGAAAGAAAACTGGTGAAAATACAAAAACAGAAACACACTGTTGTAATCATGGAATTACACCACTAAAAAAGCAAAAATGTATTTTTAGTAATTAGAAGTAACAATGACAATCTTTCACTAACACCACTCAGTGAGAAAATGTTATATTCAAACAGTAAGTGTTGAATTGTGCAGTTAAGGCACATCATTTTGTGACCCTTACTTGTACACAACCATAGTGCACATTCATCACCTTTTCTGCTTACTGTATACAGTATCTCTTTGAGTGACCTTGCTATTTTAAATACCACATTTTTATTTCTAGGGATACTGTCCTTTAAGGAACCAGAGAATCTTATAGTTTTAAAATCTGCATTAAAACTAAATGGAAGGGCAGTCTTAATTGTTGGAGTGCTCTAGTCTATGTTTTGACTTCAGGAAGACCACATTTATTAATACAGTCCGCTAGTATACTGTAAGTATTTTAGTGCTAAATCTAAACACATAATTTCTAAGGTTTAGATCACTTCCATGTTATATGAGGTCAATTGTTCTTATGTTTTTTTTTGTTTTATTTCAATTTTTACCTCCACTGCTGAGCTTTGTAAAAAAATACAATAAATGAAAATTCACTGATGGCTTTAGCTCAAGGCCTGTAGTCAGCTTTGGGTGTAAAAGACTTGAATTTAAATGAGCCTAGAGACATCATGTCTCATTCGACTACTGCCATGGATCAGTCAAATCTTTCTGATTTCTTTTTCTTGACTCTTGCAGTTTGTTTACTGTATTTTATTATTCTACTTGCACCAGGTTTATTGTTTTTTTTTTAGCAGACGTCTTTATACAGGGTAACATTGATTGTTCATAAAGTCTTACATTCGACATAGGACATGGGAACAAAGAGACAATGAGATGACAGATATGATTGCAGCTGTTTCTAACACTAGGAGACAAAGAGCATTAGAAGTCAGTTGCTGTATATGAGCAAAGCCACTGAAAGGGAAAGCCATCTATAATTACCTGGCATATGTACCATCTTGCAGTTGCAGTTCTCCACAATATATTTGGTTTCACACTCAATTCTGCAGGCAGTAATGCTGTAGACCTGGTAAAAACCTGAATCCAGGGGACTGGACTGACAGTCACCCCAGGGCGGAGGCAGATATGTGAGCTGCAAAAAGACAAATGCATCAGGAAGGGAATGAGAGAGCAGATCTTCTGCCAGGATGTCAAAATGTTGAAAATGTACGGATAACAATTGCAGAATATTGTTATAAACCTAACCTATAATGATTTCTCACCTACCGATAAAAAGGCAATGAAAATTGCAAATATTTGGAGATCTTGTTTTTCAGTGTATGTATTGAATACAAAACGGCTACATAAGCAGTGTTGTGGGAGCTGAAGTGTCAAAGTTTTGCACTGTTTGGATCTGGAAACAATGGGCAGAACATACTGTAGTGTTTGCTGAGCTTTTGGGGCTCTGAGAAGCAAGTTCAATTCAAATCAAAATACTTTATTCATCTCAAGGGGGGAGTTTAAGCATCAAGCAGTGCAACATACTGTACAGTGTACAACACAAGACAAAACAAGAAAAATACATTGCTTAGAAAAAGTATACATAGGTATAACAGCAAACGGACCATAGAAATGATTGAAAGTAACAGTGTGTAGCATTTGGAATGTATTACTACTGTACATGCACATTTGTATGGGGGACATAATTTACAAAGCCAAGTTTCCTTTTATTAGTCTTGCACTATGGACAGCAAAACAGGCTTCCTGAAGGCAAACTAATGAATGATGTGAGGTGGGTCTTCAGTGATGGCATATGTCTTCCTCAGGGTCGGCTGTGCCAGTTGTCTTAAAGGCTCACCAGTGATTTTGAAGCTGAGGTTTACAATATTTTGAAGGTGGTTTTTGTCTTTTTGACTGAGCGAAGTGAACCCGCAGTTAAAGGAAAAAGTTTAAATAATTTTGATTACAGAGCTATAAAATGTTGTTACTTCAGTAAGATACAAAAAGGATGTTTAAAATTACAGTACTAAGAACTGTATGATTCATTATGTCAGCTGCTGATCGTCAAAATAACCCTGCTGTGTTGTGATCTCTTCTCTGTGGGGCTCCTTTGATATCACTTGCAATTTGTTTTTCCTGTCATCTCACATCAGAGACGGTTTCTAAGGTCAGTAAAACTTAGTAAACAAAAAATGTTTATTGTAACTTTTAAAATAAAATCTAACAAAAGAACACATTTCACACAGTAGGATTTTATAGTTGTTTGCAGCAGAGTGCAGTATATACAGTATATACTGTAGTTTTTATGTTGTATTGCACTTTTGCAGACATTCAGAGTGAGCTTGTCAAGGCTTAGTGATTTAGAATTCTGACAAAGTACACATGTAAAATTACAAGAATATGTTTATCAAGTGTGTATCTTTTTTAAAGACATTGGAATTTAATTATTACAGTAATCCAACAAGTCAACATGGCTAAACATGTTTGTAAATTTGTAGAATTTGTAAAGCAATTATAAAACATCTGGAAGAGACTTTTGGTAAGAGTGTTGCACTACTAAACTTCAAGTTAAAGCTTAATTACACAGTGTCAGTCACATTTCAGTTTAGGAACTGGACATGGAAATTTTTAAATGAAAACCATTTAAACCATTAATATAACTAAATGATGATGAGTGTTTCTTCTAAATAATTGTGATTTAACAATACTATAGGTCCGTTGCTACAAGGTTATTACTACTATATTAATGTTCTATTACAATTTATTTCAGAATGCTCACTTAATCATTCTCATGCAGTGTACACCATACAATTCAGCAAGGTTCCAGCATTGTTAGTGATTAAATTTTGAAGAAGACCTTTATGCTTAAGTCTTTAATTTTACCCCCTGTATGGATCCAATTCAGAATGCAGAGCTTTGCGTGACAGTTCTCAGTCAGGCTTCATCTACAAAGCTTTAACTTAGTAAAAGAAACAAACAGGTTGTGCTGTGCTGTTTGTGGAGCTTCATGTTCACTCAGCTGTGAATCAATGGGACCTGACAGGGCTTCAGTTAAAACTTGGACAATAAAAAAGCAGCATTTTAAATGCTAGACAGTTCCTGAATTAGAGGAATAATTCCATACTGGAGTAAATGTTCTATCCTTCCATATCCTTCTTCTAATTCAGGGTCGCAGGGCAAGCAACGGGGGCAAGGCAGGGTACACACCGACACAAACACACTCCCACCAGGGCCAGTTTTCCCAAAAGCCAATGAATCTACCTGTACGTGTTTGGACTGTGGGAGAAAACCGGGGCATCCAGAGGAAGTCCACATGAACACAGGGAGAGAATACAAACTTCAAGCAGATACAGTAGCACCCCCAGTCCAGGATTGAACCCAAGGCTGCACACTGCGCCACCGTGCCATCCGGAAGGAGCATTCATTACACGTTAAGACTTATTTTAGGAACCACAAACAGGCAGCAATATGAATATCTCCATTTTCATCTCAGGACATGGAAGTCGGCCCTTTTGTAGCAGTAATCAAGCTCAGTGCTGTAAAAGGCTTGCAACACAAGGATCAGAGGCATGTCAGTCACTACAGCTAGAGGCCAGCATTTCTAACATTTCTAACATGACATCAACAGCATGAGTATGAATGGGGTGCCTTTCTGGCATTTGATTAAAAATGAGAGATGTTCTACAGCACTGCAAAATCAGCATAGGCTTTGATCTTCTGATACAGAAGAAACAGTACCACCTTCAAAAGTGGATCACAATGTACAGATCTTGATTATCACGAGGAAGGTCTGCTTCTGAAATAATATGATCAAAGTTGACCTTATAAGATCTGGTGAATTTTGTAAGACCTAGCTGTGAGCTGCACTCATTATCTGTGAAATGAGGGCCGCATTTTTGTTAGGACTCCCCCAATGACAACAAATGCTCAGCATCTCTAAGAGCCTTGGGGTTATTGTTTAGCTTTAATGCAGGCAACAACCACATGCTACCACACGGCTGCATTTAAAAGATTTTAACATCACAGGAAAATAGATTCCACTATGTCTTTCCTTGTATTACCAAAGCAGATAGCAAAAAGCAAGAAATGTTCAATGTTTCTTTCACAAAGTCATGGCAATGTTAACTGATTAATCCACTTTCAAAACACAGAAAACATTTCCAACTGTTGCCTTTCTAAGATGAATTTCTGAATTCAGGAAACATGATATTCTCAAGTAAAGAAAGTTGCTTAAAAATTATTAGGCCAGGTTCTTTTAGGGTTAATGTTTTTTTTTTTAAAAAAAACTAATGCAAGAATGCAAAGACTTTATGCACAGGTATAGTTCTCCATTCAATGAGTATTACTCCACCTTAGATCAGCAATGATTCAAGTGGTAGCTGACAGTGACAAATATGACAAATGTGTCAAACCAGCTATCTATATACTATACAGTAGGTGTTAATCACTTAACATTTGGTTATACAGGGGCAGTATATAATTTCCAACCCAGAATGAAGTCATCAGTGATCTTTGTAATGTAAGGAGAACTATTACTATATTGAAAGATTAAGGGATTAAGTTCATTTTAGTGCTGATGTATCTCAAAATAGCATCTAAATCCTCTCTGTATTGCTGCTTCCAAAAACAATCTAAATCCAAACCCTACATTAACAGACAATTATGAGGCCATCACCATGATGATTAGATGTCTGCTTCAATTTCCTCCCAAAGAAATGCTGGTTAGGATTGACTGAATATTCCAAATTGTTCTTTTCTGGCAGGGATTTATTCCTAGCATGATCAGTACTGTTTATGTGACTGTAATAGAACCAAAGAAGTGTGAGTTCAGCAGCCTTCTCTCAAATTCTCGCCATACTAATATTCTGAATTTTAAAGCACTGGCATTAAGAGAAATAATTCTAATGAAATAATTTTAACTGATGCTATGGCTCATATTAACATCAAACATTCAGCCAATATCAACAAGAATATCACATTAAGGAGACAAAAGCCATAGAGTACATTATCATCAATAAACATACAAATAATGCATTAAAAGGGAAATTTACCCCTATTTTGACTATTGATAGATATTTATAAACAAATGATCTGAATAGGACCACAATCAAATTGCAAATATTATTTTACAATAAATCCTATAATCCTATTTAATCTCAAGATAAAAAAGTATCAGACATTAAAGAATGCCTTAAGTATGTCAATGTGTTAAAATAATCTTCAGATACTCTGCACTATAATAATAATGTGTCCTATAATAAACACATTAATAAAAGTCAAGGGACTATATGCAAATTATTTTGTAGATTAAGAACACTCCTCAACACAAATAAGAAGACTATTCAAAAACCTAACCTAAAAATCGAATGGATGTGAAATGGAGGCACACTGTGACAGACTAGTTTCCGCTTGTGTTCTAATAATTTCTATGTACCCCAGAAGAAATTCTTAAAATTGAAAATGAAAAAAGTATCAAGTATTTGAGATCAAAAAGGGAGCCCCCACCTCCTCTCCTACAAGATCAAATATTTAACTTTGATTTAAGCCTGAGCTATAGCTGTAAGGTAGAGTACTGTAAGAGAAAGGCTTGAATTCTATATTCCTGATGAAATTTCGTTGTCGGGGATAAGGCTTATAAATTACAGTACTGCACAAATAATACGACTTTTTTCAAGCTGAAATTGTTTGCTTTTCTTTTCTTCTCTTTAAGTGGGGTCTAAGTTCATGGTTTGAATAGTGGCCTGGTATGGGAGACATTCAGGTGGGAGGAGGTGACTCGAGGTTTTAATAAATGTGTAAACACAAGAGAATGGCAGGTCAACAATGCAACAATGTGTGGGGGAAATTAAAGGCAGATGTATTTTAGACTTAAATTCGGACTTCATTAAGTGCTACCTTGAGGAGAGTCACAGGTGTCTGTAACAACACTACCACACAATATACTGTAGTACACATGAGTCCTATTAATTATCTGCTCTCGTTTGCAAACTTTCTTTTATGCTTATATCCTTAAAACACTCTGGAAATGAGACCAAATGTGAATGTCACTTAGATTAGTGCAATTGTTTAATTAGTACAACAACATGCATTGAAGTATAATTTAATTTAGAGCTTTTGTACAAGATCGTACATAGTCAACCATTTACTAGATGTTTTAGCTGTACTTCACATTATTCACACTGTGGATAGTGCAGCAAGCAGCTCTCAAGTACTTTCAGATCATTTTAATCTGAGATGCAGAATATGTAAAAAAAAAGCAGAATCTTAAAGCATGTGATATAATTGATGCATCAATGAAGATGTTAGAAAAGATTTTCACTTTCTCAGAAAAATGTTGTCTTGCGTCCTTCAAACAGGCGATCATTTAAAAATTATTTGAAATCCTGCTGAGCACCCCCGCATGAGGAGAAGAGGGGCTCAGCAGACATTAGAGGGAACAAAATCCATATTTCATCCATGCCTCAGGTCTCAGAATACCAGAAAGTATTTTAATTTTTTAAAACCTCTGAAAAAGATCTTCACAGAATCACAGCACTGCTTGAAGTATTGCAGGGTCAGATTTAGTCATTCGAAACTGTTATCTTAGATTTTAGTTCCTCCAAAAAAGCTTTGTGTTTAATGGTTCATAAACAGACATTTATGATCAAATTCATATTAATAATAATAATAATATTATTATTATTATAAGCTATTAACTGTTGGTTGGTTTACATATTTTGGGTGGTGGCAGAAATTAATTTTGCAGCCAATTTCTGAAGAAAGTCTTTTGATATTGCAGTAACTATTTGGTTGAAACAATGTTATCAAAAATGGTGTGGTCATTTTTTCGTGGCTCAGTTGAATCATTACTCTGCTCTCCTCCCCACTGAGAGCTGGTGTGTGGGGAGCGTTCTGGCGCACTATGGCTGCCGTCGCATCATCCAGGTGGGGCTGCACATTGGTGGTGGTGGAAGGGAGTCCCCATTACCTGTAAAATGCTTTGAATGAAGTGTCCAGAAAAGCGCGATATAAGTGTAAGCAATTATTAATTATTATTAAACCACAGAAAAAAAAACTGCCACACATTTCAAACGCTTGTAGACTCTGCTCACTCATTCTGTTTTGCGAGAAACAGACAGAGAGAGCAGTAGAAAATATGAAGCAAAAGGGAACAAAAGAGAGTGTATGAGAAAGGGAGTGGTAGGTAAAATAAGAGCATCTAGCATAGTGGAAACCTAGTGGGTAAATAGTATACGTTGCATAGTGAGACTTATTAATAAAGTATATTCTAATTCTGTTGACATGAAGTAGTGGAGCTGCTGTTTAGTTTAGTTTGCTGCTTTGATCAGACCAGCTGTTTATTTGATTATTTTGGTGTCAACATTAATAAAGCCAGAAAGCAATCTGGAATATTTTTTTTTTCTTTTTCATTAGCGTGTAGGATATTCATTTACAAAGATCCCTAAAAAGCCACCCTGAAATGGGAGATCTTCCACAGGAAATGTGAATATACAGTATAAAACATGTGGATGGAAAACAGTTAGATGGATATACAAATAAATACATGCATTACTCTTTGCTCCTGTGTGGATACGAAGGTCTGGAATCCTGGAGCTACTCCAAATCCCAGTTCATGAACAAAGGGAGGTTCTGCCTGACTGTGGATTTGAACTCTCACCCCAGCTTCAAAAGTTGTCTCTTCTGTCCAGAGAAAAGAAAGTTTAAAAAATAATTAGTGCACAGGTCAAACAAAAACAGGAGCAAAACACATTAAAAATTAATTTTGGGAACTATCCAAAAGTCCCTAATTAGCCTGGTGGATTAAGAACCCTATCTTATATAAAAAAAACAGTGCAATTACAGTAAATGTATGTGGTTTTAAATATACAGTAGTATTTTCTCCTGTTGCTGCTTTACCTAGTTGTAATCTATGCATTGTAATAATCTTTTGTAATCAATCTATGATGGAGAAGTGTTGACAGTCAATCTGTTATCTGATACTTGGGTTCAGCCTGTTGTCTCATCCAGTTAAAGTCTATGTTCATCAGTGCAGGATGAGCCTTATAAGAATGGAGACTGCCCAGTCAAAAGTACTGTAGGCTATGCCAGTAGCATGCTATACCTTATACTGAATGGAATTGGGTGGCACTGAGCTTGCCATAACACACTACAGAAATTTGCATTGGGTACAATCACTCTGGAGCTGTGGGATGTACCCAACTGGCACAAAAGCCATACTGTTTAATTTTAACTTCATGTCACAAAAAACAGGTGGTTTGCCATCACGGTTGTCTTCATGTTTTCAAAATATATGGTGGGGTTGTATTAAAAAAAGAGTGTTCCAAAATGATCAGCTATTCCAGTGCAAATAGGCTTAAATCTGGGAACAAAAATATTTAGTAATACTTTCAATTTCAAATACTGTGCCTATACCAAAGCTTCATTAGGAAGCATATTTCCCTCACCAAGGGTGTCTTGACCTCACTTCATTATTCCTCCTTCTCCCTACTAGTTATTTTTCTTGCACTGAGCAGTTGATAGACATTATGATTTCCAAGGTTATATAACTTGGTTCTACTGTGGCTTAAAACCTCCTGAAGTCATGTTCAAATCAAACAACCAAGAAGAAAAGATTTTGTTTTTGATGACAATCTATTTTTTGCATTTTGTACATTTGCCAATACCTTAACCCAATGCCTATAATGGGAAGTATCCATGAACCTTTTAAATAATACAGTAGTTGGCAACAATACCCAAAAGGTTAAATTAAGTATCTTAAATTATGCTGTGCTCCAATTCCGTTTTTTTTTCCACAAGACTAGCAAATGGCATATTTTAAAAGCTACAGTAGGCACACAGATTATAAAGTTAATATTTGTGAGTGGAATCTGCCCCTTAGCCTTGGCGGATTACATAGCTTTAGAAGAATTCAAGTCAATTCGCCATGGGGAACATCAAACAGATTTGGATAAAAGCAAATTTCTGGATCCTGGCTTTGCAGGTTTCAGCTAGGAAGAGACTCTTCCCTCCAGCACATTCTCAGCAAATTCTCTCAGTGTCCCACGCACAGAGACACACGTGACAAAAACATCCAATTAAACCAGAATTTGGCATTTTTTGGAAGCTAATCCCTAATCTGAGTAACAATGCAACTGCAGCATGACGGTTTTAATCTGTTGAAATGAATTACTTTTGCTCTTCCTAATTCACTTCAGACCTTGTGCCATTTTGTTACTTTTTTCCCCCCAGGAGAAGAGGATGTTCAGTTGTGATGTATTATTTATCAGGAGTGGTGACAGGTTGAGAATGAATCTGTCCCCCATGAGGTTAGAAAACAAACAAAAGATCAGCTTGAAAAAAAAAAAGCACTCTTAAAAGCGAGAACAAGTTCAGTAGGGAGAAACATGTTGATCTTGAACAAAAAAAAAATACACTTTTCAGCATATTTCCATATTTTCTTCAAAACTTTAAATAAGTATTCTTTTCTCACTCAAACACTGACCCAGGGGTCACCTATTTCTAATCTCTTTTCTACTTTAGAATACAGGCAGTACATCAACCATCCAACCATTTTCTAACTGCTTGTTCCAATTCAGGGTAGCATGGGGAGCTGTAGCAAGCAAGGGGTGCAAAGTAGGTGAGCCCTCGGACATAACTCCACAGACACAGACACTCACACCAGGGCCAATTTTCCCCAGAAGGCAATTAACCTACCAGTGTGTCTTTGGACTGTGAAAGGAAATCGGAGTGCCCAGCAAAAAAACATTTAAACAATAGGATAATGTACAGACTCCACTTTCATAGCACTCCAGGTCTGAAACTTGGGCCCCAGCACTGCTAGGCAGCAATGCTGATCTCTGCCCCACTATGCTGCCCCACTTGTACAAACATCAGACCTTGTCACAACATTGCCAAGCTGGTGCACTTTCACCAGGTGCACTTTCCAAAGCAGTGCCAGGCATGTCCCACCTGCAATCTGTAAAACCTTTTGATGGTTTATTGATAAACCTGCAAAAAAAATGTTCACTTCCTTCAGAATCAGAAAACCAGAAAATGTTGTGTTTTGTAGACGTGATTCTGGTGTCTATTGGAAAAGAGTGCAGCAGTCTTCAAAGAAAACAGTACTGCGTGTAACATTATTGCCACTAAAGTTTACATTCAGTATATTAGAAGTAATCACCACATTTGTGATATATACTGTACGAAAACGGCTCTGAAATACTGAGAAACTACAGAATATATTTTCAAGTTCAATTAACCTTACCTGAGTATTTAATGACTATTGTTCCCAAAAAATTCACACAGCTAAGTAAATGCAAGGTAGTATGTTAACACCAAGGTAGTCTGTTGAGAGAACCCTTGCTTAGATTTCCCATTTCTGCTCTCACTGAGCTAGATTTCCTTTTACCTTTGTTGTTCTTTAGTTGTACTAGTAATTTCTTCATCTTCAAACTCACAAATGTTATGCATTTTCTTTCTACATCAATCACACAGCAGTTTGTGACTGCTGAAATAAAACCCATGTGAGTTTAAGAAAGAAACATTACATTGTTTACAATACTAGATATTTAATGTTAACATTTGAAATGCTATAGAACATCATGGTTTCTCCTTTAAATATAATCTTCATCAAAGTAAATACTAAACAATAAAAGTAAATTGAAGGGAATCTTTAGCAATCTGCAAATGTTAGTTCAGGGTAAAAAAAAAAATATCATCCCTGTTCTGTAAAATGGAGAAAGTTTTGTCATTTTAATTCCAAATGGTACAAGGTTCAGTTTTTATTGACACATAGAATGTTCCAGAAGAAATTCTTCCCCTGCTGCCAGACCGACAAATCCCATTGTGGTGAAAAAGTCATGTTCTGTCTGATAACTGAGTAGTGAGGCAACGCATGTATATGACTCCGAATAAATGCATTCTTATCACCCATCATTGCCTACAATAAGCAAACTTATCTTACATTGACAGCTGCTTCTCAGAGGAATTTGTTTTCACAGAATCTTCTTTTATTTTAGCGAGCTTTACTAAGCATTTCAGTTCTGACCAGTATTATACTCTGTATTATTTCTTTCCCATGATTTTTCACTTTAATGTTTTTTCAAAGCTAGCCATCTTTGCTGGTGGCTAGAAAACTGCAAAGTCCATTAACTGGAATTAAAATGGTGTGTCTTGTGCAGATACGTTGGAGTTATAACTTATTTTTCTCGGTTTGACGTAGCATGTCTTAGCAAAAACCACATAATTAAATCTACCCAGAAGCATGAATAAGCCATAAAATACAGTACAATTGACTTGGTAAAAAAAAACATCACTGCCTCCAATAAATCCTGCTTTCTTTTATGACAAATCGCATGTTGGGAGCCAAGTTATGATAAAACCCTTCAATTCTGTGTAGTTTTCCTGCAGAATAATGTTTCTCACATTTGTTAATTAACGGCTGTGGCATACCACTTCGAATAGGGATATACAGTAAATACAGTATGAGCCTTCTTGCTTATTCTTGACGTCTCTCAAGAAATGCCTGGATGATATCCTCTGACCTAGTACCAAATAGCTTAGAGGGACCCAGGGACCCCATCTCATCTGTAACTTTCCTTACATTCTTATGCAGTAAACTACACGCCTAGTTGTAAAGCAGTATCCTTGAAAAAAGACACAGAGTGACACACTGTGAAGATGGCACTGAAATGACCTTGGTAGCAAATGTTTCCAGCAGTGTTTCAGGTGATGGCCAACAATTTGCATCTTTTACCTCCACTACGATCTGTTGTTCAGTACGCTAGGATCTAAGATATTCTCTGCTACCAGCTCACCTGGTGGCTGTTACTGTACAGTATCTGCAAGAAGAAGTCAGAACCTTACTCGATAATGAAAACTGAATGGGAAGCATTGACATATAGGCAGGAACCAACTGAACAGAATGGATTATGGATATATTTTCCAAAGAAAAATAATTCCTGGGCTGTATTCAATTCTGGTCTTCTTTAAATGTAAATGCTGATGACAAAGTATTCTTTTGCAAAAAAGTGTTCTGGATCTCTTTGCAGAACAAAGAGAAAGAGACACTGATAAAAAAATTGATCTTGAGAACATTGTAATTGATGTGTTCAAGACCCATAAAATAAAGAGCCTCTGTGTAAATTTTCCATACATATTAGAAGGATTGATGTTATTGATTCAAACAAAAAACATGCTCCTGGGTATTACTGGGAGAGGAATCAACTTGGTGCCCTCTGATGATGTTGCACTCTGTGATTCTAGTATAGGCTATGAGTTGCCTTGACCCTTATCAAGAATAAATATTTTTCTGATAATGGATGGACTAGATAAGCAACTAGAGGCAAGCATGAGGCAAAATAACTTACTTGGTTGATGAACAATGTAAAATTAAATAAGATAAACGCCATTTTGCAGAAGAAACCCATTAACCCCAAAATATGTACGAACACTCTGGCAGGAGTGAAGAATTCTACATTAGCAACATCGCTCAAATCTGTAATTATATTAATTTAAACTCAGTGTTTTTATGTGTTTTCACGTAGAGTACATTAGAAGACATTTTCTGTTTTACTGTTGATTTGTAGTTATAATGGTATTTTCAAAGATAAACTGCAGTTTTTTTCAATATGTTTAGAGATACTTTATTTTTCTCTTGCTGAGCTATGCTTGCTAAACTACTGAAATGACTGCTAAATGAA